ACAATCAGTAATTATGTCCCCACTGGATGCAACAAATGCCTCGTCTGTAATGGGTTTTATTGGTTTTGTCTCGTCGCACACGGCATCGTCACGGCGACACGGCATCACAGTCATAGTTTCATCCCTTTAGAGTGTCGCTGTGACCGTCTTTTTGCAGTAAAGGATCTGTCAAAGTTTGATGAGTGGGAAGATGACATGAAGCGACGCAAGGTTAGCTGCATTGAAAACAGATGAGCGCACATGTGCATACAGCTCCTGATCGGGCGAAGTTCATGAGATTTTGTCCACAGAATGATAAGAGCACACGTTTTAAATTTTTTTTATTTCATACTCAATATTTTAACTTAAAGGGGTCATATTAAGCGATTTCAATTTTTCCTTTCTCTTTGGAGTGTTACAAGCTCTTGGTGCATAAAGAAGGTCTGTAAAGTTGCAAAGACTAAAGTCTCAAATCCAAAGAGATATTCTTTATAAAAGTTAAGAGTCAGCCACACCTACCTAAAACGGCTCGTTCTAACACGCCCCCACATGTCTACGTCACTATGTGGGAAGATTTGCATAACGCTGCCCAAATGTTCACGCAAAGAAAGAAGGCGTAACTTTTATTCTCGCTGTAGTATTGTTGTTGCCGCTGCCATGTCGTGAAGGCGCTGTATGCTTCGTTGTGAAAGCGAAACTACCTTGTTTGGCCTTCCAAAAGAGGACGATATCTGCTTCGTCATGCCTAGAGCTGATCCATGCTGGTCGCTGAGGAAATACTTCAACATCACGCTGTGGATCGCCGGATCGGCAGAGTCCAGCCCGGGGTCGTCACATGTGGTTGCCGCAGGCATCACAATATGGTAACCCTTACCATATTGTGATGCCTGTAACATTTCCGTCACACACTTGAGGTATTCAGGCAATCACAACGAACTGGATAGCTGGCCAATCAGACCGATGAGCTTTGTAAAAATCTATGCGTTTCAGAAGGGCGGGGCATAGAGGAGAAACAATAACGTACAGTATGTGGAAAATAATGTGTTTTTT